GGGGTCCAGCTTCTAACTTCTTGTAACAAATTTTTTTTGTCCATTACTCTAAAGTTAGAAGTTAAATTTACAAAACAAATGCCTGAACTGCTGAATGTTCCAGAAACTGCAATATTATCTCTTGTTTTTATTTATCAATAGAATCATGCAAAACTCAATACAAATTTATCAATCCAAAGACTAGAAGTCTAGAACTATGGAACATTATTAAACAAATAATAATTCTCTGGACCAATGTTCCTGGCCGAGTTGTCTCCGATGTAAAAGATTTGATTTTTTTTGTACATGAAGTAAAATAATTGTTGTCTTTACATAGGTTTAGACTAATACGTTATTAAAATCAACTGTAGTAACCAAAGTGCTTTATGAAATTTTGTTCTTCTTCCTACTGACAAAACATTGCATATATTTCCCATGTTGCTCACTAAAAACATCAATTCTTAGGAAGGGTATACTAATTTGTTCTTTGTTAACATCTCATTACCATAATATTGGTTGAGAACATCTGAACTTATTTCCTCTTCTTGATTGCTTCAATAACATTATGTTATTAACCTTAGGAAATAAAAGGTTGAGATAACATCTGGTTATTGAAGACCAGGGCATTATACAATATCTTATTGTTGAATTAAGAGAGAGAAAGAGAAATATAATTACAAAGTTCTTTGATGGGGACAAAATCGATGAAAAGAGATTACAAAATCAACCACATGAAGAAAAGATTACAAAATCAATGTGGTATGCCAAAACTACATAACATTGACCATGGAATTAAGTAAAATTTGACAATTAACAACTCCCCAAACCTAAAATTTTGTTTTCATTTAAGCAAAAGTACTCTTACCTAACCCTATAGTACTAAACTAGAAAAACTACTAAAACACTAAACTATAAATACCATGAATTTGAGAAAAGTCAATCAACACATAAAATACAAGCTTCAACCCTCTTTGATTTTCTTAATTCAGTTTACCAAAAAAAAATCTCGTTCAAACCAATTCAATTTAAAGTGATTTAGATTGGATCGGTTTTCGATTTTAGTCTTATTTTATTCTTTTAAAAAATATTAAATAAATAGTGAGATACATAATAAATATAATTAAAAAAATTAAAATATGAAATATCCCATTTATAAGTCATTGAATAGGGCGTATATACTATTACAAATAAATTTACATAACAGTAACAAAATTTACATAACTTGATAATTGTATTTATATACCTTTACTTAAAAACTAAAAGTTGTCTCTAATTAAATATATTTCATAAATAAGTAATTTTTTTAATAATTTATAAATATATAAGAAATAAAAATATAAAATGAGTGATATCACAAATTTATAAATAAAAATATATACATATGTTTAAGTTAAGTTTGGATCAGATTAAATTGGTTTTCAAAAATAAAATCTGAAATTTAATTTAATAAAAAAAATTATTTATTTTTTAATTTCTGACTTATTCAATTTTCAGTTTTTAGATTACTTTTTTTTTTTTTAATTATATTTGATCATTCTACGAACACTGTAGCTACGCTTAACTGATTGTTATCCAAATATTTTGGATCACTTCTGACCCATTTTGCGAGTCACTCGTTCTCAAACAACATAATATTAAAAAAATAAATGTATGATTTTGGATCCAAAAAACATATTGGACTTGTACCAATAGAGAGAGAATGTCTCTAATGGTCTGTTATACGATATCAATAGTCACCAAAACCCATATAGACCATAACTATAGTTTTATCGGATAAACTTATTAAAAACACTTCTAAAGAAAAAAAAATGAAATAAGCTTTGAATAAATTAAAATTAGTTTATGATAAGTTAATTTATAGAAACTATCTCATAATTTTTCTAAAAAAATTATAAATTCACTTATATATGTATAAGTTAATTTTAACTTTTAAAAAATCATTTTATTTTTTCTCTAAAAGTGCTTATATAAAAGTTTAAGCAAATCTATTTAGCCTGTTGTAATGTTTTTTTTTTGTCAGTTTCGTTGTGAATATGCAGGTTGATTTTTCTGTAGAGTACGGGTACGCGTGCCTATTATGAAAAATGATTCCAAAATCAAATATACATGATCTCACACAACTGAATGCTTTTTAAATAACGTATAACTAGTTAAGAAAATTCTAAAAGATTTATTTTGTTGAGAAAAATATAATTAAAATATAAAAGATAGACTAGTTAAAACATTATTTAAAAATAAAAAATTAATGTAGTCGGTAAAAGAATGTTTAAATTCTAATGGTTTGTAAATATCACAATATATCCACTCTCATAAAATATGTAAATATTATATTGTCCTTAATTTATTTTTATGTTAAATTATACACTTTTCTCTTAACAAAATTAAGAATATGATTATTTACTCTCTATTTATTTTATTTTTTTGTTAAAATTCTGTAACTTTTCATTACAAAAATTACATTGTTCTTCTCTCTTGTATTAAGGTATACGTACATATATAGATGAAAATATACTATACTTTATTATATTTTTATTTTTCATTAAATATAATCTTACGACTAAAATATTTTTTATGCTCCACTATTGAGAGGTTTAAATATTAAATTTTAACGTACCAAATTCACGTCAAAGTTTATATTTGATAACGTATTCATACGATGAATTTAACTATATTCATTCATAATTTATATAATATCTGTCGCACGTATAACGTTGAGTAGGAACGTTGCTAACGACCCTGTCGGTTTTCAATGCAAGACTCGTATTAGTTTGTATTATTATGGTAAAAAAAACACGATAATTTTCATATCAAAAGTTTCATGAACAATCTGTCATAAAAAAAAAAAGTTTGATGAAGAAATTAGTATCTATCTGAGAAATTTTGCTGTTGAAGGCTTGAAGCAATCAAGGTTTTATGAAGATGCATGCAGCAGCTAGAGTGTCCTTTTGATCAGATAGGAACTCACTACCTGTCCCTACGTAGCTTGCTTCCTTCAAACTCATGCCTCTGACTCAACGTGGAGACAAAAGCAAGACCATAAAGAGTAGGTTCACAAAATTAGTTGGCAAGCTCTTGAGAAGTGACATATGTTACCTAATAATATGATCAAGTTGTGGACACAAGAGGACCATAATACCACATTTTAACTTCGTCTAATTCCTCACTAGCTCGTTCAACCCTTTGTTGTTCCTATCATAATTGGTAAAAGAAAATACTCAAACAAGTTCCTAGAGATGCCGAAAAGAAAAATAAAGGTAAAATGGGAAAAGGAAAAAATGGTCCTTTAGAGATAAGATATAAACTATTTTTGGATCTGCAAATTAAAGTAAACTAGACTTATTAAATATAAAATCACTTTGGGCTTGTTTTGGACAAAGCTATGATATGTTCTTAAGGAACTAGTCATTTTGTTCCTTAAATTTGAAAGAAAACACTATCGTATTTGTTCAAAATTCAAATAAATTCCTAAAGTATAAATTGTCAATCACATAATAAGTGCAAATTTTTAGAAAATTATATAACTAAAATAATAATATATATTTAATGATCAAAATGATAATAAATAGTTCAGTAGATGTATTTGATGATGAGTTAATCACCTATACACTGCCAGTGTAAAACTTTTTTACACTGATAATTAATTATATCTCTTAATTGTGCCATGTCACTGTAAACATATTTACTTTTAACAGTGACATGACACAATTAAGAGATATAATTGGTTGCCAGTGTAAAAAAAACTTTACATTGACAGTGTATAGGTGATTAACTCTTTGATGATTTAAGAAATTATTTAACATTTTCTTAGTTTGATGATTTAAGAAATTATTTAAGAAATTGTTTACCCTGTTTTCTTGTAAATTGTAAGAAATAGGGGTACTCTGGTAACTTGATAGTATGGTGAGGCTAAGCCATCAGAGAACAAATGGCCCTTCAAACACAACCGTTGAGGTGTTATGTTCACTCATGCGTCTCCCGCCTATTCTAGTCAGTGGCCGTTGCTTTAAGCTATGGGAAATTCTAAAGGAAATCTCAAGGTTGAGACAATGATAGAAATATAAATGTGAAGGTACCTAACAACCAGTTGGTGAGCCATCACTTGAACCCCCAAAGAATTCCCTTCAAGACTCTTTTTCTACATCACTACACATCCAATTCCATAGCATTGGAGCTCAAGAAACTCCAATCTCACTGAAACAAAGTTAACTCTTGGCACCAATTATCATAGTTGATAACATCATATTCAGGGAATGAGGCTTGTCATATCAGCCGTATGCGTTATTGTGCTATTCTCTTGTGCAGGTTACCCTCTTTGCATATTTTGTTTCACTTTCACTTACATATATTACGGGGTTTCTTTTGGCATTCTCATTTTCATATACATGTTAAACTAATCTGTTGATGTTTTGTGGTTATAGCTGCGTATGATCCTTTGGATCCAAACGGAAACATAACGATCAAATGGGATGTTGTGTCTTGGACACCAGATGGCTATGTAGTAAGTAACACAAACTACATTGGTATTTATTTTATATCATCTAGGCCACACTGCACAAAATCCCAACAAATAGCTAGACCTGTTCGTCAAGGCTGCACTGAGACATCATATTAAAATGAATAAACCATCATTTTTTTCCCAAACTATTATTTTCTCTCCTAAGTGATCCCTAAATTAGTCAATAAATTCATTACTTTAGTTCCTAAATTGATGTATTTCAATAAATTTTAGAGACTGATTTGAACGATTTTTTTTAATATTTGGAAACTGCTTAGCATGATCTCTAATACTTCTAGGCCTATTCAAGTATATCTAATATATCAGGGACGAAGTTAGTCACTTAAATTAAAATAATAAGATAGAAGGTCACTGTATAGTCAGCTAGCTTTGCAATCAATTGCATAGCGAGTAAAATGGATGTAACTAAGACTCTGTCTAGAAAAAAGCTTAGAGGAGATTTTGAAAACTTTTTTTTTAGTAAAAAAAACTCTTTATTTTCAATAGAAGAAACTCTTTTAATCTTGTATCTAAACATGCTCTAAATTGAAGAGTAACCTTTCATGTAATGAAATCATCTGTTTCTATACACTGCATTTGCGATCAGGCTGTGGTAACAATGAGCAATTTCCAAATGTTTCGGCACATCATGAATCCTGGATGGACCTTGGGATGGACATGGGCAAAGAAGGAAGTTATATGGTCCATGGTAGGAGCTCAAACCACAGAGCAAGGAGACTGCTCTAAGTTCAAAGGCAATGTACCTCACTGCTGCAAGAAAACTCCAACTGTTGTAGACTTGCTCCCTGGTGTACCTTACAACCAGCAATTCTCAAACTGTTGCAAGGGTGGAGTGGTGGCAGCATGGGGCCAAGACCCTTCAGCAGCAGTCTCATCTTTCCAAGTGAGTATTGGTCTAGCTGGTACTTCAAACAAGACAGTTAAACTCCCCAAGAACTTCACTCTCTTGGGTCCAGGGCCAGGCTACACTTGTGGCCCTGCCAAGGTTGTTCCTTCCACCACTTTCCTTACACCTGACAAGCGCCGTAAGACTCAAGCACTAAGTAAGTTCTTTAACTTCGTAATATCAATTTCCACCCCAACTTTCATTCAACAATCTCAGTTTCATTTGTTTTATATCATGCAGTGACATGGAATGTTACTTGCACATACTCACAATTTCTGGCTAGAAAGAACCCAGGTTGCTGTGTATCTTTGTCATCCTTCTACAATGAGACCATTACCCCTTGTCCCTCTTGTGCCTGTGGCTGCCAGAACAAGAGGAATTGTGTCAAGTAAAGTCTGATATCCAAAGCTATTATTGATCTCTTGATATCTAACAACTAGAATCATTTACATGTTGGTATGGTTTGCAGGGCTGACTCTAAACATCTCAGAATGGTAGGGATTCACACTCCAAAGAAAGATAACGAACCATTGCTACAGTGCACACATCATATGTGTCCGATAAGGGTACACTGGCACGTCAAGGTCAACTATAAGGACTATTGGCGAGTCAAGATTGCCGTAACAAATTTTAATTACAGGATGAATTACTCCCTCTGGACTCTTGCTGTTCAACATCCAAATCTTAACAATGTCACCCAAGTTTTCAGCTTTGATTACAAGCCTATACTTCCCTACGAATCCATAAGTGAGTGCCAACAAATAATGTGTTTTATAAGTCAATAACCCTTTAGCATGAGTGCTCAAGTGTATTCTCATTTTGCATGCAGATGACACTGGCATGTTCTATGGCATGAAATACTTTAATGATCTCTTGATGGAAGCTGGACCAACTGGGAATGTTCAATCAGAACTTCTTCTTCAGAAGGACGAGGATACGTTCACATTAAAGCAGGGGTGGGCATTTCCTCGCAAGGTCTACTTTAATGGTGAAGAATGCATGCTGCCACCACCTGATACATACCCGGTCCTCCCTAACTCTGCCCCTGTGAACTTATTGAATTTCCCAGCATTCATTTTCATAATGCTTGTCATGCTAGCTGTTTAGTGAATTGGCACATAAGTGAAAGTTGGGATTGTTTTCTGTAAAATTTTGAAGCCAAGTTTTCCTACACACCATGATGTGGCATCAGGTACGAAGATTCTTAAGGAATTGTTTTAAACGCCATGCAAAACTCGTGAATATGTGTGCTGTGATTCATGAGTGCTGATCGGATGCTGAATAGTGAATATAATTCCCAGCAATGATTTTTTTGTCTGAATCATGTAAATGCATATATTGCAATGCTGTAATGGATACCACCTCTTTTCCCTTTTATTCAGTTTCTCTTGAACCATATTATTGAGCATGATACAAAAAACATTTTTATTCCATGCTAGTACCTGCTAGTAAAAAGTCCATCACACCATTTCAAATCCACAAATGACTCGTCAGGTCTATATTTTCATGTGATATGTTGCTGTGTATATTTATTATAATTACAGTTACAATTATAATAACGATACATACATCATTGAATTACAACAGACACAAAAACAATAGCAAATTCTACCACCAATGTGCTGAATTCTCTGTAACAAATCATAAGACACGTGAGCTAATCTCAAAGCTGCCACTGGATGTCATGCTCCCAATCGCTTCAAATACCAAATTGACATCACATGAGTCAAAACTGGTCTGACTGAAAATTTTCTATTACAAGGCTAAGTGTACCACAGATTGGAACTTTATGCGTGAGCATAAAATACCAAGGCTACCAAAGAAGCTATCACTAAAGCAAACAAGGAAACCTCTTGCCTAGAACCAGCATTAGGTAACCACGGATAAGAATCAGGTGGTGGCATCACACAGTTGTCACCATTGAAGTAGATCCTTCGAGGAAAAGCCCAACCCTTGTCAAAAGTAAAAGTTGCTTTATCCTTTCGGAAGAGTAGCTCTGATTGAACATTGCCATTAGGGCCAGCTTGGTTGAGAAAATCATTATAGAACTTAACTCCCCAAAGCATTGCTGTATCATCTGTTAAAAGCAACTTAAAATCAGCAATTACCTTCTAGTTTATGGAACTAAAGAGTAAAAGTTTTGATGTTTTATGATGACGAATTAAGAAAAAATACTCAGTATTTAAGAAAAATGTAACAGTTAGGATCACACTTACTTATTGAACCATAAGGAGTCAATGACTTGTAGTTGAAACTGAAGAGTTGAGTCAAATTGTCAAAGTTTGGGTGTTGAACAACCAAGTTCCACTCAGAATAATTCATCCTGTAATTAAAATTAGTAATAGTAACCTTTACGCGCCAGTATTCCTTGTAATTAAGCTTAATGTGCCAGTGGATTCGGATTGGGCACATATGACTAGTACATTGAACCAAAGGTGAAAAGTTATTCTTCCCAGAGCCAGAAACAACCGATGCCAAATGTGGCGTATCTGGACTGTAACCACAAAGAGAAAGGAAATATATGAGTGTAAAACTTAGTAGCTACAGAAGGAAATCACGATATACTGAGTGGTGGAAACCTACTTTACACAGCTCCCTGACTGAGATGAGTTACTTTGGCAGCCACATGCACATGTTGGGCAGGGCACAATAGTATCATTATAGAAAGATGAAAGCGAGACACAGCAAGAGGGAGTTTTCTGAGCTAGAAATTGTGAGTATGTGCATGTCACATTCCATGTCACTGCAATAAATAAGAGTGACGTTAAGGATATAGTAAATTGCTAGAATTGGCTGATAGTTACTCATAACAACTGTAAGCTTCAATTATTTTAAATTTAAGCAGACAATTAGTAACATGACTATGAGTCCCAGGTTTTGTTACTAATAAAACCTACAACCAGTGGGTGACACTACATTGAACAAGAGTATGAGGTTGGAAGGAGACAGCAGAAAAAAGGATATATGACATAAGAAGTCCTATAACTTACTTAGTGCCTGGGTCACTCTCCTTTTGTCTGCTTGAATGAATTGAGTGGGTCGCACAATCTTAGCAGGTCCACAAGTATATCCTGGTCCTGGTGCTTTCAAGGTGAAGTTCTTTGGGACTTTGACAGTTTTGTTTGTGGTTCCAGCTCTACCAACACTGACTTGAAATGATGAAACTGCATTGGTTGGATCCTGCACCCATGAAGTGAGCACCCCACCTTTGCAGCAATTTGCAATTTGTTGATTGTAAGGTGTTCCAGGAAGCAAATCTACAACCGTTGGATCTTTCTTACAGCAATGTGGAATACCTCCCTTAAATTTTGAACAATCCCCTTGTTCAGTGGTTTGCCCTCCCATCATACTCCATATTACCTCCTTTTTCGCCCATGTCCATCCTAGTGACCACCCAGGTGAAGCGATATGACGATATTGTTGGAAGTTGTTCATTGTAACAACAGCCTGTACATTCAATTGTTTTTTACTTCTTAGATATCTAAATAACTAACGAGGCAAAAATAAGCTAAAGTCACTCTAAAGGGCTACATATAGCCACTAACTTAAATAATCACATTTGTATACTTTAGTTTATAATACACACTTAAAAAATTTGTTGTACGCAATTCAGAAATGCGATAAGATATTCAACAATATTTTGGTTTTGCAAAACCTTAAGGTTGTTTTATTATCCAAGAATTGATAGATGGCATGAGATGCAGCTGACACAAACATGCATATCCATCACAAAAGATGTGAGCAACCAGTGGAAAGAAAAGGCGTAAAAACATTTCATCTCCATGCAAAATGTACAGCAGCTGGTTTGCTTCTCATATTAATGGGAGATATTGTAAAAGAATATACTTACTACGTATCCATCAGGGGTCCAGCTTATAATATCCCATTTGATTGTGATATTCCCATTTGGGTCAAGCGGATCATATGCATCTGAAACATAAAAGCCAACAGCAAGTAATTAAAAGGAAAGAAAACAAAACAAACTAACTGTTGAACCTCTAAATAGTAAATATTACAATAATATATTTCACACAAGAAATTACGAGACAGACACAATAGCTAGACTTGTTTGAGTAGTCACATAAAAGGAAAGCAAACAAGCAAACATATTGTTGAAGTCAACGGCTGGTGAAGCTATAGTTCTTCATTTTTACATATTTAATTATTTTAGCATGCAAGATTCATGATTTCATTCTTTACACCCTAAATATCTAATAACCTCCTACCATTAAAAAAGTTGATCAAGTCCATACTAATAATGATAGAGAACTGGGAGCTCTCGGGGATATAAAATCTGCAAGGACCTTGATACATGAATTATTCCATTTGCAGTCAAAACTGATCACTGTTGGTGACCACCGACTCATGCACGGTTTTCCCAATTACAGGAATTCTTAGGCACGACGAATCTCTAGTAAAGAAACATAATTTTAACTGAAAACTATTGCAAAGGCCAGAATGGAATTAAAAATAGAAACAAATCATAAACTTACTTCTCACTCGACTCAACAAAAACTCAAATGTCAAAACAATTTTTGTTAAAAGATAGTCAGAACACCACTATCATCAATTTCTTTGTTAAAAATCTAAATCTTTACAAGAACAAAGCAAACAAAACGGCAATTATCCACTTTAAACAATTGATATTAGCAAAATTAGCCGCCAGAAGCTAATAAATGATGAAAAGTTTCCACAACAGGACAAAACCCGGCTTTCTTGATCAAATTCAATGAACAAAGGTTGCATCTTTCACAAGCATTCATTTCAAAAACCAACAGGGCGTAAAGTCCACGCAGCATAGAGTGAAAACCGCCAGAAAAATGGAAACGGTTATGCATATAAGGAAAAGTGAACCACCCCTCAAACATAAAACAAACGAAGAATGAAAAATTCAAGACTTTGGACTAGGGAAAACATAAAAATAGTAATGGGGTGGAACCTGTTGAAGTGAAACAAGTACAAGACATCAGAGCCAAGAACAAAATGCAATGAGTGGCTTTTGGTAACAGAGAGAAAGCCATGTTTGCCGCTGCAAGACGTAAGTGGGGATCTCAGTGCAGTGGTCTGAGTTGTTAGCTGAAGAGTTCAAGATCTGTGACAGAGAAGACTTGAAATAAAGAACAAAAAAGAAGAGAGAGAAAGTGAGGAAAAGAAAGAGAGAGAGAGAGAGTGTGTGTGGAAAAAATAAGCGGCAGAAACTGACTGTCTAGTTTGTCCCAGTTGGCTCATCGGTTTAAGAAAGGTATATATGCAAATTGTTTTCCTACTAAATAATATTTCAACGTACCTAAATTCATCATTGAAGGTGTTCTGCAACAAAAAAGAGTAAAACTATTGTTTATTTCCTGTCACATATTATTCTCTGTCTTGATTCGTTTGTTTTTCCTTGCAAATTTGTGATGAGGATAAATTCGTTCACTTTTTACAAAAATTAAAGATTGTTATTATGTAGTAAAAATAAATGGGTATTGATTTTCCCGCGAAAGAAGCGGTTAATACTCTGCAAAGGTTATTGTAAAAGTGGCATATGATTAGTCCTATGATGAGAACAATCCGTCTCACCTAGATTTAAATAATCAACATGATTGGCAGATAATCATCTTACTTCTGAAATAAGTAATATGATTTCTAGAATTACGTGTAAAAGAAATATGTTGATTGTGAAGTGAGATGAGCTTAGGATGACAAAGATATAGTATTTGTGGATAAAATTTGTTATAAATAATAAATAAGTAGTTTAAATAAATATTTATAAATAATGGATATGAATATTTTTTTATTTATTTATAAATGGAACGGGGAATGAATATGATAGTATTTATATTTACAAGTATTTGTTTAATAAAATTTCTTAAATTATGAAATTAATATATTTTAAGTTATTGATTATTTTGTATTATTATTATTATTAATAATATAAATAGAATTAGTGTTAAATGCAAATTTAAAAGTTAATATCAAATTTTTATTTTTAACATTTTAATGACATCAAATATAAATTTAAAATTATTTATAATATAATTTTTCATTTTTTTATTTCTTTAAAATATCATAATTACCCATGAATATCAATAGGTACCCACAAATATTTAAAAAATTTATGAATACCTGCTTAATGAATATTCATATGGATATGAAACGAATACATGACAAATTTTTATCCTGCGGGGCAGGGACAGATATACTACTACCTGTTCCAATGGAACTCCATTGACATCCTTAGATGAACCATTAAATACATCTTAATACTTTGAAAAAAAATAATTATTGATTCTCAATAAAAAATACTTGAATTAAGAAAAACATAAATAATAAAGTTAATTGAGTGACTCCCTATGGATATTATTACAAAATTTGTGTGGTATAATAAGAAAAAATGTTATGTTATTATAAAATGCTTCATTTTGTTTCTTTGTTAAATTCAACTAAATATATTGATTTAACAACTATATTTAAGATGATTTTTAATTGGTTA